ATTCGATTGACGCGCGCGGGGAAGGCAATCGCGCTTCAAACCTCGTCTACTGTCGAAAAAGTGATTTCAGCCGGAGTGCGAACGTCCACGGCCTAGGCAGTCTCGGAGAATTATGAAACGACACGGTCTCATCTCTCTCGGATCATCCGACGAATCCATACTGCCGAGCCAGCGCGCCAGCGCAGATCACGTCGATTTCGTACTCTGTATCTACGATTATACCGTCGGTCAAAGTGCGCCGCACGCGCAATACCTTGCAAGATCTCTTTGCCTCTCTCTCTCTCTCTCTCTCTCTCTCTCGCTCGTCTCTCGCGGATCCATTCCAATCGAATAAGCGAATTCAATTCGGTTTATCGCGAGCTCAAGCTTGCGAAGCACGGACTGGCATTTCGCGCGCGCGTGTGTACGTGTATCCGTATCCGTATCCCTGATCAGCAGACGCCCACAATAAAGCCTAGATGAGCACAGTATGCTGTCTGTTATAGGTAATTTGCAGCGACGGTGCACAATAAACTCCCTCCACGTTTTCGATCGCGCTTCAGATGAGATTTTGATATGCTACTGCGTTTCCTTTTTCCTTTTATTTTCTTTGGTGAAAATGCCGAGTCGAAACAGACCGCCCTTACAGTTGGATCTGTTTAATTAAATTTGAACGTTGAATTTCATTCGATTCACGGATCACGGTGTAACAATATCCGCGAATTTCGCTAGAATCCCCCTTGGCTCTTATGCTTTCCGCATATCATTGTCCGCTACTGTGCACTTATGCATCTTGATAATATGAGATGCAGTACGATGGTATCCCAGATAGGATTACTTTAACGTAATAATGCGGTTTACGAGGCTTTCGCACTACGTATGGTCATTACTGCGGGGCTGCTTCGATGCTGCTTCACGTCAAGTTTCAAAATTACACTTGACATAAACAATTTCGTTTGGGAGAGGATTGTGCCCTCGGCCGCAGAGAACTGGATATTCGGTCGCACGAGGATTTGCTCCTGCAACGAGATCAAATATTTACGAACGAACGACCGTTTTTCTCCATGATAAAATGCATATCCGCACACGATTATCAGCGAAGCCCATAAGGTAGATAATATTATCGAGATTTTTGTGGTCAGATATAGTTATCTAAAACCATTCACGCCTTCCACATTCATCGCGCGTATCCGCCTCAAAACCCGACACAAAAGCATGTGGCAAACTCGTCTTGAGAAGCGTTCCGCCACAATAAGATTCCCTCGGCGTCTATGGGTCCACGCACGTTTCTCTCTCGTGTTACAGCGGGTGCAGAAAGAACAAAAACAGAGCACGTGGGAGAGAGCGAACAAGGCTACGGCGCGCCAGCCACGAAGGGTCAGTCTCTCTTTTTTCCTTTTTTTTTTCGTTTTTTTATGGCTCTCGTTACGTGCCCACGCCTTCGATGCGTGAACGCGGCTCCCGCGCGCGTAACTCGAGAGCTCGCCGATGTCGCTCTCGCACCCGACGCGCATACGCGAAGCGCATATTGTCAGGTCATCGACAGACGCGCACGATGCTGCTGCCCGTTCGGTTGCCTAATATATTTACGATGGCTCTTTGCGGAGGAAGGGCCATGCTGTGAAAGGGTAATCGGTCGGCAGACCGACGCGAAATTGGTTCCGTCGAAATTAGTTTGCCTCGATCGATGATTTATTTGTTTTTCGGTTAGTCAACAACTCAATTTTGCGAGTGGACTTTACGCTACCAAATTTTATGAGAACATTCCGTTGCTTGATTAAACGCGTTTACAAATCTAAATATTTATTTTTGACGTGAATGGACCGGAGAACAATGAACTTTCCAAGGGTTACAAAATTGTCGTCTGCCTGTTGAAGCGATGATGTGTACTCGAGTCAACTCATACAAAAAGCCTCATTAAAGTAGATTCGTTGCATTAATATATTTTCTGCGGCTAGACACATTCTTTGATTATTTTCCAACTGGTCATTTAAAGTCAACGTGGAGCTAAGATTTTTGTTAGCTCGAGCAAGATAAGTTAAAGTCTGTCCTTACTCGGTGAAACTTCGGTGAAACCTGGCAATGCAGACACGACTCGTCGCGTTGAAGAAAGGTTAACGAGACGCGTACGCTAGGTCGTCAAAATCAACAGAAATTCCGATTGACCGAAAACGAAACAATGAGGTGGATCAGCAAAGCTGCATACATGGCTATAAAGTGTCGATTCTTTCGAAAGCATACGGAAAAATACTAATCTATTGTTACACCTGCGACACCGCTCCGAACAGCCGAGCCATCGATTGTTCTTTCTTTCTCTGCTTTTATTTTATTTTATTCCATTCTTTTTTTTCGGATACTTGGCTAATTTCACTGTTCGCGTAAGCGCGAGTCCACTAATTGACCATCACGAGAAAACAGTTAACTTTTTCAAGGTTTAGCGTTGGAACTCACGCACTTGGCTTGCTGCCCGATGAATTTTCTTTATGTTTCTCTCTCTCTCACGCGCGCCTGCCTAACTTCGTTTGCGCTGTGCTCATTGTTTCACGTGTTATGTTATTTTCCAAGCTCGTACTTCGATTACTCGACAAATTAAATTTCTGAACATTTACGAGGGAGCGAAACTCGTCTTTTTAACGAGCCATAATTCGATTCTCTCCTCTGCGTACGCGTATTATTCACGCTTGTTCATTTTTTGTCTTCTTAAATTATTATTATTTTCTTGGCACAGCTGCGAGCATTTTTCAAGGTAAAAGCTAGGCGTACGGGAGGTCGGCAGCAAGGCAAGTTTTAGAGTGAAACGAGTCTTAAATTTCGAGTATCTAATAATATCGAGTAGTGTTTCGTTTTCTTCCAGAGCACGAAAAAAAAAAAAAAGAATTGGATCGCACTGAAGTTGAGTGTCTGGACTATAAACTTCTCGTGCTCGACTTCTCTTCTATTGTGATATGACGTAATTGGCTTTATCATTAAAACACCTGCCCGCCATGCTAACTGTCGACCATAATTTCTTCCGACAACTCCATTATCCGTAGTTATCTTTCCTCTTCGCGTATTATCTAATTAAATTTATACAGTGAGCGCCATTTTTCTGAGAATCAGCTTGGACTTCCGTATCACATCACGCAAATTATAACACAAAGGATCGTCCGTTTCAGTTTCCTCTATTTTTTTTAAATTTAAAAATTTTTTTCATGATAATTCAAGCGAGCCATGCGCGCTAACTTGGCTAAAACAAAGGAAAGCGTAAAACCGCCTCGTGCGTACGGAGATTCGTGTCGGGCAGTCGAAAGGAAACTTCATTTTGTGTTTTTCATCAGCGGCTAATGCACTTTGCACGCGCGTTTAGACCGAGCTAAAATGCAGCGTTCTGAAAAGCCCGACGACGGTGCGTTTCAAGCACGCTCCCGAGCGAAATGTAAAAGCTTCCCAGCGCAACCTCCCTCGGGAATTCCGTGTCGAGTTTTCAATAGAGCCTCTTGAAATCACTCTCTCTCTCTCTTCGCTTGTTGCAGGAGGTGAGTCATCCGAAACACGGTGTGCTCCAAAGCGAGACGCGAGACGCGAGACGCGAGATCGCTTGGCATATTTCTTCAGCGCTGGTAAAACATTTGATCCTCGCGAGGAGTGGGAGGAGGGGGTGGGGATCGGAGGCCCCGACGAAATCTGCCGCCTCGTATCGAAACCGAGCGAAACCCGAGCGCATTCGAGACATTTAATAGCGCTGACAGTCCGGGCGCGGTGAATCTTTGCCGAATATTTACGCGAGGCTCGGATCAACAAGTTTTCATTCGACGCGCGCACGACGCGGCGTCGGCATAAGTAGCTCGCTTAATGAACCAGTCGCAAGCTCATCCATCGTAATCAGACGCGCAAGCCAGGAGCGCCGCACACGCGTCCACCGCATTATTATTCAGAGGGGCGCATGCTCTCTGCGAGCAGCCGAGCAAAACTAACGTCTTGTTGACGCGCTCAAAGGCAAAGGCTGGCGTGGGCGTCGCGAGCCGTGGTCGTGTATACGCGCTCTATCCGAGCGTCGCCCGTCGACAGCTGCAGCTCATCTATGTACGCACGATAATCAGATTAGGTTACGCGCCAAATTAGCGGTCCAGCGGCTGCCTCGCGACGCGGTCTAAGGCGCTTTCGAGTCTGGCTGCACGCGGGTCGCAGCGCGATAACAGCACGACTGGTTACACTTGCTAATTGAAACGCGCGCGTTGCCCTCTACGCGCCGCTCAATTTTCAGCGTCAGCGGAATACTAGACGTGCTTCTCGGGATGCACTTTGATGCTTACGACGCTCGTCGAAGCTTTTGTAATCGTTGCTTTCGCGCCAGTGCGATGCGCGAAGGCGTCGTCCCTGCGAAATATCAATTATTTCTAGGCTCGAAACGCTCACATTACGTCTGCACGAGAGCAATGTGCGTGACCTGACAGACAGCGCTGCTGCAATTCACGAAAATGAAATACCATGCATTTCGTCCCAGCGCGTCCTCGTCCTGTGCCATCGCGCTACAATATCAGGGGACTTGGCGAGAGAGAGAGAGAGAGAGAGAGAGAGTGACAGGCCAACCAGACGCGAGTGGCATGAAGCACTCAAAGGGACCTCTCCATTTCCCGTTGGCTGTCTAGACGTCCTTAAGTGAAACGTTTCGCTAAACTTGATAGCTGATTATGCAAATGTGGAGCCTCGTTCTTTTATTTTTTTCCTTTCAAAATACGCTCAAAGCAAGTAATACATCTCAACACCAAGACTTTAGTTTTCGATTAGCTCCGTTTCAGGGCTAATGAAAACGAGATTAGGGATTAGTTAGAGAGCTAAATCTAGTAGTAGGTTCATACGCTCCTGTTATACTTGGAAAGCCAGAGTATTTGAAGTTAGTTACGTGACGTCACGGAAGATTAAAGTTTTTGTGGCTTTCAAGTTGGACACTTTCATCTCACTTTCGTGGCAATTTCATCTATTCTGTGTGCTTAATAATGTAATTATTTATATACTCTTTTAATATCAATGAGACGGTAAAATCGTATTACAGTTTGGTTCAATTCTTGTCTTGACACTCGGAACTTTCTTTAGCTAGGTTATAGAATTTTTCAGCGCGTTCTCTCAAGATACGTCTGCTTATTTTTCCATTACTTGATCGGGGTATTTCATCGATGAATACAATAGCGCCTTTAAATGAATCACTGTAGTCGAGCTCAGACAATACCTTTAAAACATCCTCTTCAGTCATCTGAAACACAACGATGAAGTTGTTTTACTGGACGAAAAATGGTCAGTAACGTATTGTGTATCATGCAAATCTTACGACGGTTTCGGGACTAATTTTCACGAACGCAACCGGCTGTTCGATGACTATCTCGTGACGAATTCCAACGATGGCGGCATCCACGATGTTTGGATGGCACACTAAAAGTTCTTCGATGTGCGATGGATAAATGTCATAAAGCCGATGTCTAATCATTTCTTTCAGCCTACCGATAATTACGAGTTCGCCATTCTCATCGTAATAACCTTGGTCACCCATGCGAAACCATTCTGTAATCAAATGATAAAAGTTTAAATGAACCAAAGTTAAGCAGAAATATCATGTTAATATGTGTAAATAATTCTTTCAAGAAACTAACTAAATTCAAACTATAATAATCAAACATATTAATGAAAATATAAGCACAACATTTGACTACTATAAAGCTTAGAGTTTTGTTGATCTCTGCAAAACAACAGCAAATTCTCTTGTAAATTGATTTTCTACGATATAAATAAATCTTAATTTCCACTTATTTTATGTATAAATTCAATTACTTGCAGTTTGGTTTTTGTAAAACGATCTACACACTCGTAATACCTTCATTATCGTACGCCAGCTTGTTAGCTTCTGGGTTTTTGTAATAACCAGTCATGCCAAATGGTGTATTCGCTCGTATTTCTCCAACTTCGTTATGTCCAAGAGATGAGCCAGTTTTCACATCGCAAATTTTCAGTTGTATATTGGGTATCACTACACCTTGTGAATCAGGATTGCGACAATTTTTCGTATATTTTGTCAATATCAACGTCTCGGTCGAACCTAAGAGAAAAACCAATAATAAACAAGATTGTATAAATAGAAAGCTGTGAGAAAATGGAGAAAAAAATATCTACCGTATATTTTCTGAATAAATGCATTGCGAAAATACGTTTGTAATTTATTGACAACTTTAGGCGAGATTATCGTTCCGCATGTTTTAAGCAACGACAGAGATTGGAGATCGTAGTTATCGGCTACATTGGATTGGCATAAAATCGTTACTAGATATACATCTGCGGCCAATATGTTTACCTGAATGAACGATTGAACGCTTGTAAATTCACAAAACTGATAAGTTAGCAAACGTATTTTCAAGAAACCTTGTATTTTTCAATGATCTTGCAAGTTTCGGTTGGCTCAAATTCTTGGTGAAACACTTGTGTGCGTCCGACCAAAACATTATGTAGCATGGACCGAAAGTGAAGTTCCCACTCCGGGGCCAAATAATCCAAGCACACTCTCTTTGTGTCTTTCATTTCGGTATCCAGATCAATGCTCGAGATCCAACGCATGCATCTCTCGTTGGAATAACAAACAAATTTTATGATTCCGGTTGTACCAGACGTCGGCATTATTATCGTCGAGTGTGTTGGATTTTTCTCAGCTGGTACTTGAAACTTGTCGATCTCGTCAGGTGATTGGCCGCCAAACAAATTTTCAAAGTGATCATCATACAAAGTGATCAATTTCCAAGCGTGATCTTCCGATTCAGCGGCTTTTTGCAATAACTCCGCCTTGTCTTTGCCGACGAACATAACGCGCGGCTTTATAAAATCGACGTAATATCTGGCAAGTTCTAAAAGGAAGAATGGCGTTTCAGTTAGTTCCGCAGAACAGCAGAAGATTTCAATACAGTGAGCTCATTTACGCAAATTTAAGTCCTGGATAGGCAAGGCATTGTAACTTGCACCGATCAATACTGTGGCGAGAATTATGCTCCCGATGTCTGGATGATTTAGCGAGCACACCGAAACGATATCCCCAGCCACGACTCCCTCTTTTCTCATCCAAATTGCTAAACGAATGCTGCGTTCCTTGAAGGCCTTGTAGGTGGTTTCTTCGCCGGTGACGGAGTTGATCTGAATGAACGATCACGTAACAAGTCGAAATGTCAAGCGTTCGTTACTCGTACTCACCTGCCAAATCCGCTCTGACGCTGCATCCACACGTTTCAATAATTGCTCCGCGAGATTATCAGCGTCGACAGAATAGTACTTCTCGTTCCCTTTGATTATGCAATCTTCGATAACAAATCCATCTCTTTCTTGTGCCATTCTTTTGGAATTTACAGGGAATTATTTTCCAATACGTCCGAACTGTACGATGCTATTCGATCGAGTGCCAAAAAAGAATTCAAGACACATTTGCGCGTAACTTATATAACTGATTTATCATTCTTATCTAATTTATCTTGCTTATCTTTGCATAATTTAATCTACTTAACTACCTGCGAATCTTCATCATTCGATCATTTATTTCGTTCATTTGACCTATTTACTCAAAAGCTGCTACTTCTCCTACGCATACAAAAAACTTTCACAAAATATTAGAAATCAAAATTCTAACTTTCTTATTGGATGTCTAAAATATTTTCATCCTATATTTATTTTTATAATAAATGCACGATTATAGAAACAAAAAAAAAGTAGTTATAATAAAGCACTGATTCTTAAGAAATCTGTTGCATCGTCACCCAAATCTAAACCAACTATAGGCAACAGCCAAATAATAATGAGGCGCCTAAACTGTTTATTCACTCTACAGGAGACTATTCTGTAGCTGTCGATAGCACGTTAAGATATTTTTGCGTCGCACTGGGGTTTCCGCGCGGTTCGCCTCATGCACGCATCTGTGTACGTCGCCACGTCGAGCAAGTAAATGTCGGTTTTGCGCTGTATTTGCATGTTTATACTGCCGATTCGCCTGATTACGAGATAAACGTTTCGGCGAGTCTCTGAAAATACGATAAGCTTCCGTTCTTTGAATTAACTGCGGAAAGAACGAATTGTAACTCAATTTTCCACCCGGAACGACCGAGCACCGATGATTCTAGCTGAGCTTTATTGCCAGAGCGAAAATGGTCCCTCGTATCCCCGTTAATGCGCGGTATTTGCGTAAAAGTAAGCGCTGTGTAACGCCAACTTACGTCACTCGGAACTCAAGCATAAAATATCAAGAGCCTTGAGTGCACAGCTCGCGCTGTCCAGTATTTTATGTCTCCTTTTTCGTGTACGTTGTAAACTGGACAGTGGATTCATCGCCCTTCTCCCTCGCGCACACACGTGCGGAAAAATTCACTTTTGAAAAAAAAATCTTTCACAAATGTAAGAAATACGTAATAAGTGGAAACAATCGTATGCAAGGTGTTTTCTATAGATAAATCCGATAAGTAATACTTCGTCGTATTGTACGTACCGAGCACATTCGACAGTGGTTACGCTTCTTAATCGCGCGGGAAAACGGAAATAAAAGTGCGGCTTTGAGTGTCGATCGGAAATTTTTCAGCGAACTCTCGGCCCGTTACGCGTGAAAGTCCCCGGACAATATTTGCTACGGCAATTGGGGCACATAGAGGCGACTACGAGGCAACGGGACTATTGAAAGTCTGGCTGTCCCTCTGGCGCAGCCCAATCATCTAGTTGCCGTGGCTTTTGGAATGCCAACCTCGCGAGGCATCGCCGACCCGTGGTTAATGCTGCGGTATCGATGGCTGAAAAAGCGTCAATTGCCCGGCGACCACCGCGCGCGAGGCAGAATCGCTGCAAATTGCGAAATCAGTGCGCGCGTGCCTCACCGCCAGCTTTTTGCTTTGAATTGCAGGCTGATTCGATAACGCTTGAATAATTTGCAGCCGGGCTAATCGAGTTTATCCTCCTCCCAAATGTAAGTTGAACAGATAATTGTAATCAGTGCGAAAACGTTGATTTGCTGAAGTTGTGAATCGACAATGAGAAAGTACTTAAATATCTTTATCAAATTTGAAATTAATGACTCGCCCGAAAATAGCACTTGATCATTGAAAATTCACTGCTCGTCAATTGTAATTTTTCAATTATTTATTCAAAATTTATTTGTGTTTTCACGTGCATTCGTCGTTTCAGCTTTGACTAATATTGTACGCCAATTGAACGTCGATACAAAACTGCTGATGTTTTCGCAAACAAGCATTTTAGCAGGAAGTGTCTACGTATAAATCGCGAGTAGCTTGCGCGTGTAACATATTCGATCGCAGTAAGCAACATCGTTTAAACAAACATCGTCAAATTTGACGAGCAACGCTCACTCAGCAGGCTCGCAGGCAAGGCACTTTAATGGACGCTTCCGTGGGGTCTGATAATGCGTATGCCATGTCAAGAAACTTGCGACGAGCTAGGCGCCGTCAAAGGACTACATCGCCGGTCATTTTGCGTTTGTATATATATATAAGGCTAGATTGCAGTTAGGCAACTTTCGCCTGGGAAGAGTAGAAAGTTAACAACGTATGGCCTGGGAAATTGCCGCGAACGTTTTATCGCCCGAGCCGCATAACAATTGTTTGAACATTTTCAAATTACAGCGTCTCGTTGCAAGTCTATGTATATCTCTCTTGGGCAATCAGTCGAATATTGTATGCTTTTATCTAACCGAGTCTACTGAGCTTAATAAAGGATCCAATTTGGCCGCCGACGACTCTGCGCAAACACCGAATCCGGCAAGAATTGTAAACTCGCGTGTTTGCTCGATAAGGTATACATATATGAAGAAAGCGACGAACAAATTGTATACAAAGCCATTAGCTCGCGCACGTGCATTCTTTATTTCGAGCCAAATTTCAAGGTATTTTTAACGAGGGTGAAGAGCTCGTCGATTCGGCGAGATGCGACTTCCATCGCTTCTCAGAGCAAAGCGCCTTCCTCTAATAATTCACAAGAATCTTATCACGAGGAAAAAGCTCGCGACTCACTCGTAACAATGAATCACGCAGCTGCATTAAAATGTACGATACGAAGGTCTTTCTCGAGATTCCATCGCGCCTCCTTTGCCACCCATATGCCGCGCGGAAATGAGCCCCAAAGATTTTTCTTCTCTCTCGAGGAGATAATTTTTTTTATTAATAGCCGTTGCGTGTTTCTTACACTCTCGCGAGCTTCGTTTTACGTGTCCGCGTCGTAAATCACGGCCGAGCGCAAGCCGTTGGAGCGCGACAATCCCCGAGGCATCATAACTTGCCGGCGCGCGATACGTTCCACGGTTGTTTTTCCCTTTTTTTTTACTTTATCACTCGCGGAGCGAGAGCCTCGCTTATAAATTGGTCGGAGCGACGGAATTCGTACGCAGCCGTGGGCGCAGGTGTGTGTGCCTCGAGCGACCTCTCGCGCGATCGACAACACATGCTTTCCTTTTCGCGTCGCGTAAGCCGATGTTGATAAGCAGCGCTCGAGAGCAGGTTTTGCATATTTCGATGGAATCGATGCGCGCGAGGAATACTAAGTTTGGGAGCATTGTGATGGACAAGTGGACGCATCTCAGAAGACGCTGAGCTGTAGCTATCGACTCGCGACGTTACATTACCAAAGCCTTTCAATTTTCAATTTTTCTTTCACCGGTCAACAAGTATCCGCATTTTATCTCCCTTTTCCCATCGGGAGCGCTCAAGTCTGCGGAAAAAATCTAATCCGAGGAGCTCGCAATGAAGGAAAGAAGGGGAAGAAAAGCGCAACGCGATTAGCATTGAAACGAAGTAATCTTTTGGGTCTCTTTCAAGTTCTGGTCTCTGCGGCAAGAAGTAGACGTCGGCTTCCCTCGATACTTACCTGCAGCTTCATAATCTGTTGAGCTAATTATTCCTCGAACTGTATCGCGAGCTTGTGCAAGTTCGCATGAAGTTTACGTCAGAACACATTGCAAAACTTTCGTAGCTTCATTCTACATCACGACTTCTCAATAAAACCTTAACAGGAGTTTATGACTTGAGCAAATAGGTATGTAAGAACTAGGATATGAATTGAAAAGTCATTCCATAAACTTTCCAGAGACTCTTAACTTGTTAAACAATTCCGCGCGGGTTTTACGCACGCCACGAGATCGTTCTGGGAGAGCCAATAAAAACTTTTCGAATTTGCGTTCACTTTCTACTCACGCAATGGTTAATTTTCCCGAAACGAAGAAGGCACGAGACAGTAAAAAGTAAGTCACATTACACATTTGGAAAAGTGTCTCGCGAACTATAAAGTCGGTGAAAATGTGATTCGATGGGGTATATAGATACACACATAGACAGACAGACAGACAGACACACACACACACACACACACACACACACACACACACACACACACACACACACACACACACACACACACACACACACACACACTACAGGTTACAAGCCTCGTGCGCGCGCTCACTGCGAGTTCCCGGCTGGCAGCGGTGGCGGCAACGTCCAATCAATACAGCTTCCCTTTGCCAACTTCTCTCTCTCTCTCTCTCTCTTCGTCCCTTTCTCCCAGGCAACCAGCAAAGCGCCTGTCTCTGTATGATGAACCTATATACGTTGCTTTTGTTTGGCTGTTATCCGCGACTTTATCCGTTCTCCGCATCTCTCATTTCTTACCATTAATTTCGTTAATTCACAAGTGCGACCTTTCAACCGCAATCCCCTGGATCGTTATATTTTTGCGACGAGCTCGCAGAAGCTTCTGTGAAAAGAGCCGCAGCGACTTTCAATCTTGCCAAGCCACCCCCTCCCCCTTTCTGCATTTATGTCTTTCAGCACTGCCGCTGCATCGGCCTTGCGGAGTATACACCTCGCCGTACATACAAACACACTTTCCCTCGTCTCGATCGTATTGCTCGGCGAATAACCGACGCGCACGGTCGATCTCGTAACGTAATTTGCTCCCACTCTCTGGGAATATTCGCTCTCCTCTCTTCGTTCCTTACCCCCGCACGCGCACATTGCGCGCGCGCGTGCACGCGTGCTCGTCGTTAAGGAATGCCGTGCCCTCTTTCTCCTCGCGTTTTTTTCTCTTGCTCTCCGCTGTGCCTCTCAGACCGAACGACTGCGCGAAGATATAGCTGGCCTCGCGTCTACCGAGCGAAATAAAATAATACGCGCCGCGATTACAGGATCCTCGAGCACAGGAGTCGGGCATTCGACGGGAAAGGCTTTTACAGTGTTATGCCGCCGAGAGGTAATTTACTTTCGATTCTTCGCCATTTACTCGGTATATTTATCCATAGGAGACACTTGACAGCTGGCGTAATTGTTGCACGAGTGGATGAGCCGTAATTTACCGAAAAGGGATTATTTTGCCGTCTGTAGCCGCACTTTCCATTCCG